AAACGGGAGGAAGAAGAGAATGAATACGAGTATGTAAATATGTACGTTGAACTAGAAATAGAATACATTCTTTGAATTCTTTTAAGAATGCATTTCATAAGATAATGCTAGCATGAGATACGGTTGATCCTTGTCCCGATATGATATGAATATGAACAGTGCGATGAATCCAGAAGTAATGCCCATCTGGGAAAGCAGCACTGACGCATAAGTTTAATGGATATTTGGCCCCCATGGAATAATAAGTTAAGATCCATTCAGATTTCGAACAGGATGCCCGAATTTACCATCAGTTAACTCAGTTACCAATTTAATCGATAATCACAGCAATTCTCGAGATAAATCGTTCGATTGTAGTTTGAATGAATTTCCAAAAAGAAGTATCTATGTATGTATGTAAAATGTATCTATGTATGCACCTACTAAATACGTGCATACATATGAGTAAGCATTTCCGATCTATGCTTCGAATCAATTCGAGCCACAAAAATGTCGTACTTTTCTGTGCCAATGATCTAACAATTAAAAGCAAATGGAATTCTTTTGACTGTCATTCCACATCACTGGATATTTGCTCATTGATCGTGCTGTAGTTGTTGCTGTAGTTGTTGCTGCCTTAGAATTAAACATGGACTGCAGGCAGCGACGCGTCGCGACGACTTAGCATTGGAATGCGGTCGAACTCGTAGTTGAGCCAAGATTTTTGTGCGCCAATGTTGGTGTAGCCCAAAAAGCAGCTCGATAGAGAGAGAGAGAGAGAGAGAGAGCGCGAAGAGAAAAAGAGAGATGGTGATACATGGCGAGAGTGAGAGCGCGAATGCGTACGTGTTGGATGATGAAGCGGCAAGACAGCAGCAGCCGAAGCCGAAGCCGCAGCCGAAGACGCAGCCCAAGCCGAAGCCGCAGCAACGGTCTACCTAAAGTGCTCGTGTCTCGCCGGTGCTTGGAAACGGGTTCCCCGATCGACGCGACGCAGCCAATTCGTAGGCACTTGTCAGTCCATTTGGCAACAAACATCGTTACTGTGCCAGGCCCAAATCTGATTCCGATTCCCATTCAAACTCCAAATCTACTCAGTAACGGCCACAAATCCAAACCCAAATCCGAAACCAAATGGCGACACTTTCAGCCACTCTTTTTATTTTCACTCGTTTTTTTTTTTCCTGCGGTTTTGGGCATAAATATTTATGTTTAAGGAATTTGCCCCGAAACAGGTGAAAGTTTTACCCGAGAAAAGGCCGCACAGCAAAAAGCAGAAAACAAATCGACACAAGCGTTTGTCGGACTCGGCTCTTCTCTGTCTTGACGCATCTGCTTAATATTCTTTTGGCCAAAACATTATCATAATACACATAGTATGTGCCATGTACATTTCTGGGCGTTTTCATTTCATATTAACATCTGTAGAATATTCTCTGTATATTCTCTTTTATACTATTCATGAGATTATATGAATAATGGTATAAATATATAGAGGATATGTACATTTATAATAATATTTTAAAATGCGAATCAAATAGGTCAATAGGTGTGATGGGGATAAAAGAATGTGCAAGAATTAATATTAGAACATAACTAAGACCCATGGTTCCTCTCTTTCTCTCTAGTCTTTCCCCTCTCTCACCCAAAATTGGGAGAGATCCCTCGCCGCATTAATTAACTAATCACCTCGTCCCTTTTAAGAACTGCACTGCCAAAAGGCAGAGACTGGCGCTTACGCAGCCCTTGCCGCGGCTAACAAGGTTCTGGCTCGTTTTTCAAGTGTTTTTAAAAATAATTAAAGTCAAATCACCTTCACACTGTGAAGCGTACTCGTATGTGGCATGTGAATTATCAAAAAGATTGGATAACCAATACGGAGGGTGCCACGAGAATCACATTCCCCATCAAAATTGTTTCAAAGCCCTCAAAACCCTCTGCGAAGGAATGGTAACGAAACTCCAGTATAGAGCGGGAACGCCGAGAGGCGTGGCAAGGGCCGCGGCTCCACATCTATACCCGATTTTCGCTCCCCTCCGCCAGATGTCTCGCACTGGACCAGGATGAGTGTTAGAAAGAGAGCATGAGCTTGGACTTTAATTTCATTTCTGGCTATCTGGTCATTTTTTATGATTCTGTGTCTCTAAATGTTGGACGGATGGTTGGACAGACGGGCAAACAGATACAGCCATATCGAGTCGGCTATTGATGCTGATCAATAATATGTACACCTTATAAGGTCGGAAACCCTTCCTTCTAACTAACACCCAAGTTATATCCACTTCCACCTACTCTTTATGAAAGGTTTTTTATATTTAATAACATGGAAAATTAACACTGAGTATTTCATGTATCAGCACAGAAAATATCATACAGATAAGTACTCCTACCGTAAAATAGTAGTAATAGAATTGACGATAAATACAGGAGTGGAAGAAAGAAAACATTTTTACAAATTTTCCAAATTCAGATGATGGTAAATATAAAGTGCTATAATCTTAAGGGATAGTTCGGGGGATATGGCAAAGGAAACCATAATTATGGCATATAACCCTAAAAGGCTCGGCATTATTTGACCGACTTATGGGTAAGCGGATAGAATGAAAAGGATGATAGGATGAAAAATACGGGTAGGTCTAGAAGAAACTGAAAAGTCAATCTGACCCAAAAGAGTTTGGGAGTCCACAATGCCGAGAAGGAGCTTGTGCACGAATATATCCCTATTATGACGGTGCAACGGCCAGGTCTTAAAAATGTAAGCCTAGATCGGTAAGATTCTACCAGAGTCTCAGTTCAACTGGGCAAAAATTAGAAATTGTTTTTGCACTGACTCGTCTTTATGCTGTCTTTATCCAATATCGGACGACTAGCGAGATGTACAGTTATTTGGTTACATACGGGTCGTCAAACTCCTTGGACCAACTCTTGAGGAACGCTAAAACACCCTTAGCTTTATTAACTGTTGCGGCTATATTGTAGAGTACGTTATGACTTGAGGAAGATCATTCAGGAATAAAATGAACAGAGGCGGACCCAGATGACTTCCCGGTGGCACTCCTGATGTAACACTAACAATATTTGACAATAGGCTAAATCCAATATAAAAGATGTTTTGGGAAACCTAATAAAGACAGCCTCTCATATTTTAGAGTATGGTTAATATAATCAAATGTCTTACTAAAATCCGTAAAAATTACCTCCGTTTGAAAACCACTTTGAAAGCCTCGGTTGATTATAGTAGAGCCCTCGAGAAGGTTATTCGATGATGATCGATGTTTAAAAACCCGTGTTGCGACAGAGATATCAAGCTGCAGCATAGATGTTGCAATTAGCGGGTGACCAGGAACGCAAGAAGCTTCGGGATGGCGGAAAGCCTTGCGATCGGTAGTTTTCAATATTAGATCTTGTGTGATGATGGATTCATTCCTAATCACTGGGAGACAAGATTGTTCCAAAGAGAGATTGACAAGAATGGTCAAGGGTTGGCATAGGGACTTTATCTGGACGCGCAAAGAATTATATTTCCATAGATGTCAAGCCTTGCAGAAGAACGCTTTCCTCAAAGAAAGGTAGAAAAATGCTGATAGCATGAGGTAGATGGTAGGGATACGGAGTGGATGCGCTGTAAATATGAGGGGAGTACGTTGATTGGAAAAAGGTGGCGAATAAATCTGCAATAAATCTGCAGCAGCAGAAGATTCTGTTTTATTCTGTTAACGAAGGGACTTAGAAAATGCATTTGACTGACAAAAAACTTTTTAAGGATCACTACGGAAATTTCTACTACATTGGGAAAGGTATAGATTATAGAGCAGACTATTCAAGGGTAAGGAATTTTGTATTTTGAGGAATATTGTAGGAAGACAGACATGGAGCCAGTTTCTGGTAATTTTTATAGAGCCTGGATTTTCTGTTCCTTAAGCAGGACCATTTCTTGGAGAACCAGGGAGGCTAGGACGATACAGATACAGTGATTTCCGGAGCAAAAGTATTAAAAGCGGAGTTAATAGAGAGATGAAGATTCATCCAGCTCTTTATGTGGGTCGGACACACTCAAGGGGTATACAGAGATAGATGGACTTCTATATGATATTGGAGTTACTCTGGCTACCGCTGCTAGAGAAGCATCAACACACACCTGCACACAGATCGCGGTGAAAGGGACGAGCCACAGTCGTAGGGATGGACCCTTTTCATACAGCATATAACTCGAACACTGTAGCAGATGATCAACTCCACCCATTCCATTCCCCTCGGATCTTCTGCAATCATGCGAGGAATTAATAAACGTCGTAGTCGCTGTTGTTATTGTTTCTGCCGGTCGTTCGTCTCTGCCGTTGCATTTCATTGCGCTTCGGTGTCGGTGTCGGTCTCGTTGTCGGTACCAGTCCCAGTCCCGGTCCCACTGGCAGTGCCAATCCCATACATACGTATGTCTGTGTGTGTGTATGTAAAAAAGAAACGATATATCTGCACTTTCATTCGTTAAGCGGCCTTCGCGTCAGTGCCCCGAGCCGTCACAATTGCAGCGATCACGAGCACGATCACACAATGCCAAATGGCAAAGGTGGGGGGTTGGACGGAGAGGAGATGAGAGGAGAGGAGACCTGTGCCTGATAAGCCGCACGGCGCACGGCGCATGGCGCACGGGCAGACATATTTGAATGGTCCACAAGTTTGAGGCGCTTCATAGAAAGGCGCCATAATTACGTGAATTTTTGCTCGAATAATTGCATACATTTTAAATACATTTGATTTTGCTTAGTTTTGTTGTTACCTTGAGAAAATTGAAATTCACTAATCAGATACTTTTTTTGTGTCTTTCTTGCAGCAATGTACTGACCCAGTCGGCCTGAAGACCAGCCCTAATCCAATCCAATCCAATCTACAGAGATAGATAGATAGATACAGAAGCTGTCCATCTCAAGGAAATCCAAATTGGAGAACTCTGACCTGAGGGAAGGACCGGAGCTGGAACCAGAATCAGAACCGGAACCGGAACCACAGGGGAGAGAGGGAGAGAGAGAAGCAGAGGAGCAGAGGACAGCCGAGCCATGGACTGGGGCGAAGGAGACCTGGTCTGGTTTGACCCGGGCATGGGCCATCCCATACCCGGCGAGATCCAGGAGGTGCATCGAGCCGCCCAAGTAATCGTCGTCCAGGCGATGATCAAAGGCAAGGTGGGTAGACCGAAGAGACCCCAACCGTACGACTTCGCACCTCCGTGGTGCGTGGCCCCACTGTTTGCATTTCCAATTGGGCTTCGGTTTCGCCGGGGCGAGCCATGAAAGCTTTTCACTATTTTCACTTGGAGTCAACAGCGGTTTGTTTATACATTTATTTATTTCGGTTTTTATGCGCTACCCTGCCCTGCCCTGCCTTGTTTGCTGAGGGCTCGTGCAACTTATGGAATGCTGTTGGCTGTTGGCTGTTGGCTGTTGCCGCTGTTGCGCCAATTTAGTGTGTGAACGAATGCCTCCAGCACAATGAAACCAAACATCTGAAACAGCTGCGGAAACGACTGGTCGATGGGATTTCTTTTTTGGCCGCTTGTGGCCTGACTTGTGGCACTGGACTGGACTGGACTGTACCACCTGTGGATTCCCTCTAATTGCGACGCACTCCACTCCCAGCACAGATCTCGGCTCAGAGAGGCATCGACGCTCTCTTAGGCCAATTATACGGGCCTCTCCCCAGCCTCCTACTGGCGGTGGCAGTAGCGTTACTCGTAGCGGTACCGAGCGCCACAATCTAGCCACAATCAAGAACTGAATGCAGCCCTGGTGCAACGTCTTAAAGCTGGCCACATTCGAGTGTGTCTGTGGCCGGATCCTGTTCGCCTGCCCGTTAACCTGTTGCTGGCACATATGTACGCAGGTATATGCATATGTACTGATGTACATATGAAGTGTGTGCAGATTTCAATTGCCTGGGAATGCCTATCCACCAATGCACGATGTATAGTACATGGACATATGTACCAACATATTTTTGGGCAGCAAATTCTTTATTGAATGCTCACTCATCCAAAATACATTCTTTATGGAACGATGTTACTTTATTCTGTTTGTTGTTTGTACAAAAAGATCATTCCAAACTCAGTTACGGACAAAATACATGCTTCGGTGCATTGTAAATTCCTTGTATTGCAAGCAAAGCCACAAACTGAGACCGATCTCTGGCAGACCCTTTCAGGCTGGTCCTACGAGCTTGGCCTAAACATAAACATTGGAATTCCCATTGAATACCGCCATCGCCCCATATGAAATGGCAAGTTGCATTGTTCGAAAGATTGTCACCCAAAGATGATTGCTCGCAGGTTGTTTTTTTTTTTGGGATAACTGTCCACAGACCACAGTCTACAGCCCACAGCCCACAGTCCGCATGCCCCGACCCCATACAGCTGGCTGAGCTGGGGCCAAAGAGGCCTAAGGAACAATGCGTACGGGTATCACGGAAACGATCTGAAACTGGTTAGAGGCGTCTCACGAGATTGGCTCGGAGAAAGTCCCACACACTCACTCACTCTCCGCGGTAGAAGCAGCGGCTAATTGAATAGAGAAGACGGAGATCAGAGCGATCGAAGCAACGGTCGCATCTTTTGGATCAGGTTTCCCGCTGCGTTTTTTTTGAACGCTTCTCTTTCGTTTTGGAGAGTGGAGAGTGCGTTCTGGTGGCCCCCGTGCGGCAGCAGGGGCAACAGGAGTGTCACCTGGCCGAGTCCGGTCTGGTTGAATCTGGTCCGCACACGCCTTCCGCCTTGCCATCGTTCTCTTTGCGAGAACGTGTTTTGGATCGAGCGAAAACCGTTTTAGAAACGTTTGGGGAAATTGTGGCAGTGCTGATGCGCTTCTGCAAGACTCCTTTCAGTACCAATCGAGACGGCGGCCACAGACGCCAGATCTCTGCCCGATTTTGTCAGTCTTCGGAATCGGTTTCGTTTTCGGTCTCGGTCTCGGGCTTGGGATCGCGGTCTAGGTCTCGGGCTGTTCCGTTAGATGCGCATTGTACGGTTCCACCTGGAGCCATGGCAGCGTGGCGGGGGCGGGGGCGGATCGGTGACCTCTAGTCCCGCTCAGTCGCCCTCGCTGGCGCTGCTCTCGCCGCATGTTCTGAGGCGGCAGCGCCCGGCCAGCCTGGAGGAGATGGAGGACCTGCCCCTGCTGCCCCAGCACCAGCAGAGTCGCCACCGGCGCCTCAAGGGTCGCTACCCGCAGGTGGTCAAGCGGCTCTCGACCCTCTGCAGCGATGTGATAGCGCGTCATGTGAGCCTCTGGCGGGGTCTAGTGTTAACCAAAATGTAGTCCCATCCCAAACTGTTCGTCAGTTCTGACTGTCCGATTGTCCCCTCCAAACCGAACACCACTACGGGTCTCTACAGATAATTAGCACAGATAATTGTCTTGTCTGTTTAGGATCTGTATAGAATTCGGTGATTCTGATTCGTTGATTTGCTGACATTTATTTTTTTTGTTTTTCCTCTTTGGCAGCCCCAAACGTTCGCCCTGCAGCCGGGCGAGGGCAGCCTGCGGGCTCGCCAGGACCTGGGCAGCAGTGGCGTGGAGGACATGACCATGCTGGACGACCTGCACGAGGCATCGCTGCTGTGGAACCTGCGCCTGCGCTACGATAAAGGCCTCATCTACACGTTCGCCGGCAGCATTCTGATCGCCGTCAACCCCTACAAGATGTTCCCGGACGCCTACGGCCTGGAGGTGGCCAAGCAGTACGCGGGAAGACCATTGGGGGCCCTGCCCCCGCACCTCTTCGCCATCGGGGCAGCGGCCCACGCGGCCCTGCCCTCGCCCCAGGTGGTGGTCATCTCGGGCGAGTCCGGGTCCGGCAAGACCGAGTCCACCAAGCTGGTGATGCAGTACCTGGCCGCCGTGGTCCCCGGCGGGGGCTCCGCATCGGCGGTCATCACAGAGCAGATCCTTGAGGCCGCCCCGCTCCTGGAGGCCTTCGGCAACGCCCGAACAGCACGCAACGACAACAGTTCCCGCTTCGGCAAGTACCTGGAGGTTTACTTCAAGAGCGGTGCCATCGTGGGCGCCAAGATCACCCAGTACCTGCTGGAGAAGTCGCGGATCGTGACACAGGCGCCGGGGGAGCGCAACTACCACGTCTTCTACGAGATGCTCGGCGGCCTCAGCGAGGCGGAGCGCAGCAAGTACGGCCTCCTGGAGGCGGAGAAGTACTTCTACCTGAATCAGGGCGCCACTGACTGCGCCAGCGGGCGCGTCGACTGGGCCTCGCTGCAGAGCGCCATGCAGGTCCTGGGCGTGTCCGAGGGCGAGCGGGAGGGCATCGTCCGGGTGCTGGCCGCCGTGCTGCACCTGGGCAACGTCTACTTCCACCGTCGCCAGCTGCGCCACGGCCAGGAGGGGGTCGAGGTCGGCTCCGACGCGGAGATCAAGTGGGCCGCCCACCTACTGCACATCAGCGACGAGGGACTGCACCGGGCGGTCACCAGTCGCACCACAGAGGCGCGGGCCGAGCGCCTGCACACGCCTCTGGGCATCGACCAGGCCCTGGATGCGAGGGACGCCTTCGCCAAGGCCCTGTACGCGGGCCTCTTCAACTGGCTGGTGTCGCGCATAAACTCCATCGTCCAGAAGGGCGGCACCCACGACGCCCACCGCATCAGCATCCTGGACATATTCGGCTTCGAGGACCTGGCCGAGAACAGCTTCGAGCAGCTGTGCATCAACTACGCCAACGAGAACCTGCAGCTCTACTTCAACAAGCACGTCTTCAAGCTGGAGCAGGCCGAGTACGCTCGCGAGCGCCTCGAATGGACGCCCCTGGCATGGGATGACAACCTGCCCGTGATCCACTTGCTGGCCAAGAAGCCTGTGGGCATCTGCCACCTGCTCGACGACGAGTCGAACTTCCCCCGTGCCACGGACCTGAGCTTCCTCGAGAAGTGCCACTACAACCACGCCCTCAGCGAGCTGTATGCTCGTCCCCGCATCGGGGCCCAGGAGTTCGGCGTGACCCACTACGCCGGACAGGTGTGGTACTGCGTAGACGGGTTTCTCGACAAGAATCGCGACGCCCTGCGCGGCGATGTCCTCGAGCTGCTCGCCTCCAGCCGCCTCACCCTAGTCACCGAGCTCACCAAGCAGCTGCGGGCCCAGCGGGACGCGGGCAAGACCCTGCCCAAGGGCAGCAACGGGCGCTTCGTCACCATGAAGCCCCGCACACCGACGGTGGCCGCGCGCTTTGCGGACTCGCTCCAGCAGCTGCTGCAGTCGATGGGCCGCTGTCACCCCTGGTTCGTGCGCTGCATCAAGCCCAACCAGGAGAAGCACGCCCTGCGCATGGACATGCCGTGCGTGCTGCAACAGCTGCGCTACCTGGGCATGCTCGACACCATCCAGATCAGGCAGCGCGGCTACCCGGTGCGGCTCCGCTTTCAGCACTTTGTCGAGCGCTACCGACACCTTCTGTCCGCGCCTCTGGCCCGCGGCACGCCCTACCGCGAGCTCTGCCGGGCGCTGCTCGAGGCCATGCCCCGCACCGGCGTCGAGGGACCAGACTATCAGCTGGGCGCCACCCGCGTCTTCCTCCGCGAGGCTCTGCACCGGGCTCTCGAGAGCGGCCGGACCGAGCGCCTACGCCACGCCGCCGTCAGTATCCAGCGTCATGTGCGCGGCATGCTCGTGCGGCGCCATCTGACCCGCCGCCAGGCCGCGGCCACTCGACTCCAGGCCCGGTGGCGAGGCCAGCGCCAGCAGCAGCACTTCGAGCGAATGCGCCGTGGTGCCATCACTGCCCAGCGCCTGTGGAGGGGCCACCAGGCCAGGAGACACGTCCAGCAGCTGCGCTCCGACCACCGGCGCCGGCAGGAGGCCCGAGAGGCGGCGCAGCGTTCGCGCGAGGCCAGGGAGGCCAAGCAGGCAGTGCTGGAGAGGAGCCAGCTGAGTTACCTGGACATCCCGGCAGAGCTGGCGTTTATCTACTCCAAGCTGCAGGGATGGGCGCCGCCGCACAGCGACAGGAACCTGGTCAAGGTGCTGGGGACGGTCCCCGGACCGCCGGCCGCTGCCGTCCAGCTGCCCGAGGATCTGGGACAGTTTTCGTTCGGAAAGTTCAGCAGCGTGTACTGCAACGGGCTGCGGCTGCAGCCCCGCCGAGAGCCCATCTCTGCTCCGCTGCTGACCCGCGCGGCGTCCCGGGACCAGGACTTCCAGGACGCTCTGGCCGTGTTCAAGCTGATCCTGCGCTGGAGCAACGACAAGGCTCTGGAGGGGCCCAAGGAGAAGCTGCTGTCCGACTACATTGTCCACAAGGCGCTCAGCTCGCGCGGTCTGCGCGATGAGATCGTTGTGCAGATCTGCAACCAGGTGCACGGCCTGGGATCCGCTTCCGGCGAGGCCACCCGCCTGTGGCAGCTGCTCGGGCAGTGCCTCTGCTGCTTCCAGCCCAGTCCCGCCTTCAGCAAGTATTTGATGAAGTTTGTCGACGACGAGGCGCCCTCCCCCATGCGGAACCTTCTCCTGCGCCAGCTGCTGCGCCAACAGAGCAGCGGATCCGGCGGAATCGCATGCCGCAACTTTGTGCCCGCCTGGCTGGAGTGGCGCTCCTGGGCGCGCGGCTGCGACATGGCCTTGCCCCTCACGCTGCCCGACGACGCCAGCCAAACAGTTGCAATCGACTCCTGGACCTCCTGCGAGGAGGCAGCGGCTCTGGCGGTGTCCACGCTGGGCGTGGCCAGTCGCGGTTGGACCATAGTGCTGGACGATGGCCAGCAGCTGACGGACAGCTGTGGTCTGGACTACGTTATGGACCTGATCGCTGAGAAGGAACTGTGCCCTGCCTTCCCAGCCCCCAGGAGCGACCTACTCCGCTCCGGCGCCAAGTTCATGCGAACCTCCTTGCCCGAGGCCGTGAAGCGACCAGGTGTACCGCCCCCCGCGCCGCCCACGTCCATTCCCAAGGCAGATCCGCCCCAGCAGCAGCAGAAGCGCAGAAGCAGCCGAGAGCTACTGTCCCGCAGCTCGGCCCTGAACGAACGGTACTTCGAGCGAGAGCCGAGCTCCCCGAGCCCGGGACAGGCCAAGTCACGCTCCAAGTCCTTGGACGATCTGTTGGCCGGCGACATAGCTCCGGGGCAGTCGCTGCCCTTGCCCGACTGCGACTCCCAGGAGCCGCTGCACACGCTGGGCCTCTCCGAGAGCCGACTCAACGACCGGTACCACTCGGCCGAGCGCCTAGCCCCCATGGGCAAGGAGACGACACCCCGCTACCAGAAGTCCCAGAATGCCGCTCGCCGCTCCCACGCTGCATCGCACGGCTCCCACTCGAGCAAGTACGTCGACAAGTCGGAATACGCCACCCGCTCCTCCGCCATGTCCGACACCAGTGAGGCCCCGTCACTCGCCTCTCACGTCCGGCGGGTGCGGGTGCCGTCGCAAGCCTCGGACGTCGACCAGTTTCTGGACGACCTGTTCAGCCCGGTGCTCGATGGCTCCCTGGACGAGCTCTCCGACGCCAGATCCCTAGCAGCCAGCATCAGAGGAGGAGGCCAAAGGCAAGCCACTGCGGATGCACGTGCTCAAGCAGATAGGGAGTCGGAGTTGGAGTGGGAGGAGCTGGAGCTGGAAGACCTGGACGACTACATCAACGAGCTATTGGAGCCGATCGAGGTGGCAGAAACGCTCAATATGCTTTCGGAGAAGCAGCAGCTGGTGGACTGCATCAAGGGTGGTGGCAGCACGGACCACGTAGCCACGGCCACAGCCACGACCACTGGCACGGGCGGCAGCAACGGAGGGGATCCGCTGATGCATCAGCTCATTCAGATGCCAGGGGAGACGGACTCCGCCCCGGTCCTCTACCAGCAGCAAGTGCAGCGCGCCTTCCTCCAGTCTGCGATGGCCCAGAATCTGCAGATCCAGCAGCAGCTGCTCGCCCAGAACCAGGCGCTGCAGACGCTGCTCAGCCAGCAGGCGGCGGCAGCAGCGGCAGCTACCTCTGCCTCTCCTCCGCCCCCGCCGCCTGCCATGGGCAGCCTCTCCATATCGCCCCCGCCGCCGCAGTCGCCGCTGCGGCTGAAGGCCATGCGCACCAGCCTGGTGGTGATGGATTCAGTGCATCCGCCGGCGCCACCACCGCCACCGCCGATGCCGCCGCCGCTGGAGTGCAAGGACCCGTCCGAGACGCGTCACTTCCTCGACCCGTACGGTCGGGCCAAGACCGTGAGGATCGGCAAGTGGCGCTGGCCGCCGCCGCAGGGGGAGCCCCAGTTCCAGACCGAGGAGGACTTCTTCGCCTTCAAGATGCGCCAGCAGCAGCGCAAGACAACACCCCAGGCCCAGCACCAGCTGTCCGCCAACGGAGGCTCCGGCGGCAACGCCACGGCTATCGAGTGGGAGGAGTTCGAGATCGAAAGCCAGACGCCGCCGCCGCCGATGATGGGCAGCAGCCTGACCACACAGCTTATGCGGAGCAGCATCCGCATGGAGACAACCACCACCACCACCTCCACCTCCACATCGGCGACTGCGGCCGCCTCCAGAGATGTGCAGGACGCAGGGCAGTCACCGCAGACCATGGTGACCACCACGAAGCTGGCGAAGAAGAGTTTCGAGATCGGTGCCGATCGCCCACCCCCCGGCAGCGTGGGAAAGCTGAAGCTCAGCTCCGAGATGCGCCAGCGCCTGGAGCAGGTCACAGCCGGCCACTCGGTTCGCTCAACGGTGTCCAACAAGTCGGAGCAACGGGCTCCGTCCAAGCTGGAGGACACCCGCAAGCTGATGCTCCAGCAGCAGCTTGGAGGACTCTTTGCTAGCGTCAGCGGTAGCGGGGCAGGTCACGGCGGAGCAAACCACGGCGAGTCTCTGGCCACGGTGCGGACCCAGATTGAGCGGATGGAGGGCAAGCTATCTCCGCCGCCGGCCCCGCCCACGAGCGCCTGGCCGGGAGTGCTTCTGCCCCCGGCTCCCAGTGTGCCGGCTCCCCCGCCGCCCATTCGGCCGCCGAGCATGGCGCCTCCAGCTCCACCCCCGGCCCCCCAAAGTCCGCACGAGCGGACTCGCACACCAGAGCCGGAACCGGACTACCGCAAGGAGAACGTGCCCGCCTTCATCCAGCGCCAGGAGCGAGACACCTTTGGCGCCGTGCGCCAGAGCGCCCTCCAGCAGCACCACCAGCCGCTGCTCCAACACCACCATCACCTGAGTGACGAGCACTCGGCGTCCTCCGTTGCCGCCTGGGAGCAGGCGGAGCGGGATAGGTCACGCAGCCGGAGCAGGTCACGAGACCGCGAGGACTACTCCGAATCCGTTTGGGACCGGGCCGAGGTGGAGGGCCCGGCCTCTGGTAGCGGCAGTGAGAAGGAGCGCGAGAAGCGGGAGCGGGAGCGTGAGCGCCTCTACGAGCTGCGCCAGGTGGAGCGCGAGAAGGAGAGCCACAAGGTGTACCAGCCGGCTCCGCCGCGTGTCATCCAGGCCAGCCTGGACACCATATCCATGGGCAAGTCCAACACTCCGGCCACGTTTCGCACCCACATGGCCCAGAAGTACGAGCACGAGCGTAAGCGCAAGAGCTCGGCCAGCTCCGGGATGCGCGAGGAGCTGGAGCCGATTGTCACGCCCCCGCCCGTTATGGTGCCGGCCCCCGTGCCCCCTCCACCAGCCTCGGCCTCCTCGTCGTCCAGCGGAATGAGTCCCGGACTGGCAGTGGCCACAGCAACAGGATTGGGTACCATCGGGGCCGGGGCCGGGGCCAGTGCCTGCCTAACTTACAACCGCGTGCCATGGAAACTACGGGTGCGCAAGGAGGTGTTCCAGCCGCATGAACCCATCGGGCCGCCGGTGGCCCTCGACCTGCTCTTCGCCCAGGTCCTGAGCGACGTGTTCGGCGTGACCCCATGCCTGCGCATCACACCGCAGGAGAAGAGCTCCGCGCTGAACATGCTCCACGGCCACGGGGTCAGCGTGGACACGCTGGCCGCCAGGGGCCAGCAGGTGCGGGCGCTGGTCAAGCGCCACCTGGTGGACATGGCCCGGGACTGGCCTCTCTACTTCGCCCGCCTATTCGCGGTGCAAGGCGCCCCCCTCTACCCGGACGTCAGCATAATGGGCGTCTCGCACAGCGGCCTCTACCTGGCCCGCCGCGACGCCGACTACCTGATCGTCGTGCAGGCCATTTCCTTCGCGGAGATCCAGAACGCGGTCACCCTGCCCCGGCCCGCCGCCCTGCAGCTGAACATGCGCAACGGGAAGCACCTGGCGCTGCACGCCTCCAGGGCAGCCGCCATCCAGTCGATGATCACCAGCTTCGTGCAGGAGTTCCGGAAGGTGAGTCCGCCCTCTATAACCACAATTATCAACCATTTGTATGTGTGCTATGGTCTTCGCGAGATTAAGCTTCGTTTGATTTGAGTTCTTGTTAGCTTTCGATGAGCTTCCATGCCCGCTTAAAGCTTGTGCAGTGCAGATGGTAAGCTTAGCTTTGAGCTTTAATGCTTGCAACCGAAAGCTTATATGCATAGAAAAGCTTAAGCTAAATCGATGCTTATTGCAGTTGTGTTTAGTTACTCCAAAACTGGAAGCTAGGCGAATGGGTCCCCATTCTCGAGTGAAAGAAGCTGCAAGTTCTTGGACCACATACACTCCGCGACACTTGAATACGACACATTAAGACTACATATGATAGCCCTAATATTTACTGCCTGTGGTCGCGAGCGCCCATCAAAAAAATCCTCAACACTCAAACGGGGTTTTCTAATTATTAAAAAAAAATATGGGTTGCGGCACGGCTTTATCAGAGCATGAAAAATCGAAATAAAAAGCATTGAAAGAAATAGGTCCATCAATAATAAAAATACAAAAGTTGGAGAATTTGGTGAGCTATGTGAGCCTTGAGTGATTTTATAAACAAATGAGTCAAATTATGGAAAAACCATTAAAGGCCGAACCAAAAAGACCGCTGTGCGATCTATTCTCAGAGTAGTATGAAACACACACGACTCTAAATCGATAGTAAAAGCTAGTGCTAGAATAGTAAAACGTATAATTTCGAAGACTCCACACCTAATTAAAGAACCGACAGAAATAATAAAAAAAGTTCACCTAACAGACGAAAAAATAAGTAGAGTTTGTGGAGTGGAGTAGAGACTGTCGCTATATAGATATTTAAAAGGAAAAAATTGTAATTTGATGGTTTATATGGCTTTATTTTGTATGCCGATGATATTCATATGTAGAGGAGCTACAATGGGATGCCGTGGGATGCCATAGCAATATCCTATTGCGGCGTTGACGAGTTGCAATTTGTATCCAGGACTATGAAAGCGGGGGACTTTTTTTCCAAGAAAATATCTTTGGCCATACCGATTTAAATATAATGAATTTGCAATCTCTAATCCTACCCAGTATTCAGTGTATACACATGTATACATTCATAAATGTACTTGTACTCTTTACCTCTTAAATTTTAATAATCTTCTTGTGCAGTGTAAGTACAGAGAAGTTATCGATAAGCCAGTGATATCTTAGACCACGTTTCTCCATAGGCTCGCTCGGGTATCGCAAGGCTCGATCCGTCAGGGTAGAGCTATGTTTTTGCACGTCTCAAAGCTCAGTGGGTTTCGGTGGTTTCCACACCATATATGTACATACATATGTGCACATGTATGTAAGTCACTCCGCATGGATGATATTCGTAGTTGGCGCACGTTCGTCATTCGAATATACCACACACAGGCACATGCACCCATATGTACATGTATATATCTCGTCTCACTTTTATTTTCTCTTTTTTCGCTCCTCTTTGGGGGGAGTATCAGCACTTGGCGGATCACAGCTTCCTACCTTGGACTGAGAATGCGCGGAGTGCACTGGGACCCACTATGAGAAAACCCTTTAAGAACCGCCTCTTGCGCAGTAGGTTTAGAGGGTATTTCCTCGTTGGGGCGTGCGTCTAGTACTGGATCTTCACCAAAGTCTTGTTATGCTTCTCAGCAAGCGTTTTTTTCTTAAAGAGTTTTAATTAAATCTATTTTATGCGTGAAAACTCGTCCAATGGCAAAGCCGAAGACTCAGACTGACCAATCGTTGGTTGAGGGGGGAAGAGAAATAGGAAGAGCGGAGCCCAGACCTGGCACAGTGGGGCCTTCGGCCGCGGATTTTTTCAATATTCGGAAGTGTCCGATTTTACCCGCAGGGGTAATCTGTAGTGGTTTTACCGTCCGTCCCTATTGTTTGCTTTGTCCGGGAGTTCCACCAGGAATTGAGGCATCACTTAAGCTAATTCAAATCCAAAAACAACGCCAAAAACAAGACCCCTTCAGTAGTGTACGACTTTGGTTGTGAGTTTATCCTGTCAAGTCTCTTCGGACTTGTCTTAGAAACAGCTTTTGTAATACAATTAAGATCTCGCGCAAATTTTGTTTTAGTTGAGTCCAAGGCGCCCATCAAATTCGTTGACTTTTGCCACCTCTTTCCGGCTGGGGCCCCACTGTGCTTCGGACGAAACAGTTATTCCCCACACAGTTGCGCTGCTCAGCAGGGAATGGGAATGGGCATGGGAATGGGAAATGGGGAAAGACTTTCCAGCTCTGCCACTGTCTGTGTGTCTGTCTCGGTCTCTCACTCGGTCTTTCTCTCTGGCTTTACGCTCGGCTTGGCCAAGAGCAGTTCGGTGTTCAGTTTTCACTCAACCTGCTCAAAAGCAAGCTCCGCTAAAACCCGCTCTAGCCCGCTCTAGCCCGCTAAAACCCGCTCCAGCCCGCTCTCAGCAGGCTGTTCTGCTCTACTGCGAGCGAAATGGTCAGTTAAATCGCTTCTGCTCGTCTTGACCAGTCTTCCCTGTTTTCAGTTGTTACAAATGTGCGGTAACGGCATCACGCAGAGCTCCAGCTCCAGCTCCAACTCCGCCTTTGACTCCGAATTCGTGTAGATTTTTTTTTTTTGTTGCTTTCGCACCTGTCTCCGTCTCCGCCTGCGTCTTCGTCTGAATAACTTTTTTCCGTGCTTCTGTGCTCCGTCGGTGCTCTGGTGCTGTGGTGCTGTGAATGAAATGTTTTTCTTCGTCTAACTGCAAACAAAGCCAAACGTGCCCAACAAAGGCTAAGGCCAGGTCCGGGGATCGATTGACCCACAAACCATAAAAAAATATATGACAAATCAACCCGATTGGCGCAGAATCGACTGGAGTGAAGAATCTCTGTCAGAGCAGTTTGAATTTAACGACTGAAATTGTGTTGAGCGAAGTGGTATTCGGTATTCGGTGTTCGGTGTTCCCTCAGTTCAAAAGTGGAATCAGATTGATTGAACTTTTCCCTTGGATAACCTCATGCCGTTGCCGATGTGGCCATAGGGTTATTCTGCCTTAGGGTGCCTTTTATAGTCTATATTCTTGTGGTCTTCCAAAACGATTTGTACCTTCGGGAGAACGCTGTAACATACGGAGCATTCCATGCCAATTATTTGGCCATTTTTCGAACTGCTCCCCCAGAAGAGAGAAAGGAGACAGGGAGCCAGCCAGTCCATCGAGTGGAAAGACAAACTGCACACAGAAATGGCAAATTAAAATAAATTGAAGCAGAAAAGCGTAAAAAAACATGCAGAAAAATAAATGGCACTGACAACGCGGCGTGATAGGCAATAAGACAGAAAAACATATGCAGCACGCATTTAACTGCATTGCCAATTTCCACACATCGACAGCCAGCGAAAATACGTATACGTACAAAAAAATGGCACATACGTAGCGGTGTACCGACCAGTCGACCAACGAATCCAATCCACACCGCACCGCACCACTCCACAGCAGAGCACTCCACTCCACTCCACTCCACTCCACTCCACAGTGCTGTTGCTCGCTTTTCGCTTTTCATTTTTCGTTTTTCATTTATCGTTTTTCGTTTCGTTTTTCCTCGAATTGTTGGCTTCGACGGCGCGTGTTCAGACAATATTTAAACATTCATTATGGTCGTGTAGTTTGGTCAGCTTGCTTGGACTTGGACTGCTGCAACTGCCACTGAAGTTGAAGCTGAAGCTGAAGCTGAGGCTGAGGCAGTTCATCAAAATGCAATAACAACTTTCACTGGCACGCGCTCCGAAGGAACTTGGCCCGGCCATGGACTGAGTGACTGGGTGACTTCCACCCAGACCCAGACCCGAGCCATAGCCATCGCCATCGCCGCACCAATTCAGCCAGCCAGCCAGCATGTCGCAGAGCGTACGCAGCAACAAGTCCTGGCAGGCGCCGGGCAGTGCGGACAAAGCGGTCCAGCTGCAGTCCGGCGGAAGTGTACCGCACAAGTTCAGCAGCATCGTCAACAAGGTGGAGTCGCTGATCAACAAGATGCACCACGACAAGGTTAATAGCTTCAAGCTGCTGCAGCAGCAAGGCCAGGATAACGCGAAAGAGAGGGCGCAGGCACAGAGAAAGAGACACGATCAGGAGCAGGCGCAGGCGCAGGCGCAGGAGGGGGAAAAGCATATGGATCAAGATCAGGGTCAGAGTCAGGGTCAGGATCAGGAATGCAAATGCGCCTCCCTAGACTCGCTGAACAACCTCACGGACGGTGACAGTTGCGAGGAGCACGAGATACTCTACACCGACTCGGACGATGCGGAAATAGCCCACATAACGGGCATCACCTCCGCCCAAGTGCACCACGGACAGCCAAACCATCCGCATCCGCATCTCCAGAATCAGAATCAGCATCAACATCAGCAGCTGCAGCGCCGCAGCGATCTTGACCAGCTGACAAACGAGAGCATCCGTGATCTGAACGAGCAGTGCTGCGCTTTACTGCGCCTAGACCTGTGCGGTCACGGATCCGGCTCCGAGCTGGGCAACGACCACGACAACGCCTGGAGCGTCGAGGAGGACATCGTGTACAAGTGCTGCACCACCGGCAGTGCCCCCGTCGGCCAGTGCGAGCAGTGCTGCTTCGAGGAGCAGCTCAGCTACAAGCTGCAGCTCAACCAAAGAGACGACAACAACAACGAGGAGCAGAGTGCGAGGGACTTGGACATGCGGATGGAGCTGGAGCTGGAGCTAGAGCAGGAGCTGGGAGCAGATGCGAACGTGGAGCACATGGGCTTGCCCATGGCTCTTGGACTGGGAAACTCTTCCAATCCATCCACCGGTGCCGTCGGTGGTGCCGCTTCCCCTCCAGCTCCTGGCGTGCTCCCAGGAACGTCGTCGAGCATGCTTCTGTTGGGCAGCAAAACGAGGCGGGTGAGCAATGCGAGCAGTGGCTCGGTGAGCCGCATGGAAACCATTCTCGAGGAGCCCACCGAATCGAAGATATCTGTTAAGGAGATCCTCGCCCGGTTCGAGACGATGAACTCCCATGAGGTAAACAACCATCCATGCCATTCTGTGAGGAACGAATCGAAGGGAAAAGGCTTATATCCTTTTGACTTGTTCCTTAGCTAGTTTCCTATATCTTCCACAAATAGGACGCTAGCCCGTGCAGGCAGATATAAACGAGCTCTGACAGGGAGACAGATCCGCAAGACAGATGTACAGCTGCGGGGCCTAATGGCGTTATTAAGTCGACACATAATCGCCTTATTATCGCGGCCAGACGGAGAAAAAAGCCAAACAGCCAGACAACCGAATAACCTCTCCATGGGCCTCTCTATCCAACGGCCCATCAGCCTACTGAAAAGTCGCTTACATCATCCCATTGCGCTTTGTGTTGGGTTCGGGTGGGTTCGGATGGGTTGGGTTGGGTTGGGTGAGCTAATCACAAAAACAAACCAACTAACGGTCTGGGGTGGTCTGGGGTGCCGATTGTACAACAAAAAGTGAAACAAATGGGTGGCACATAGCTATTACACCCTAAACTGGGACTTTCCGTAGCCGATGTTTGAGATGGTTGAACCCGGAGTCACTGCGTAATAGAGTGGGCTAGAGTAATCTGAGGAAAGCTAGCAAATGATCATTCACGTATTGAACTCAAGCATTCGATACTCTATGGTTTGGGAAACCCGTTCTTCTGACTGTAAAATGAACCCGAACTATATATCCGAACACATAAGATGAAGATCGGTGATCTCTGGAAAAGACAGAAGGACGTTTAATGTGTGCTCTCTGCTTTTCCTGAGTCCGCGGAACGTTGCTAGTCGATCTTCTTCAATTATAAAAGGTTAATTGCATTGGGATGGACTAGAATTGCATGAACTGAATTCGCTTGTGAACTCTCCAAGTCGGTCTGAGATGATCGTGGCTGGAGAAGATGCCAGCGCGTAGAGCGTTCAATGACCGACCACCTGACGCGCGTGCAATGGCTTTACGATCTGCGTTACCCGGACAAGATCTATAAAAAGACAATCAGCAGAAGAAAAACAATGAGAACTGATGGCTGCTGATTGGAATGGAATGGGAATGGGAATGAGAGTGGGGATGGGATTGGATTGGATGGGATGGTGACCCACAAAGATGCAAACAAGACAGAACGCGCACTGTTCTTGTTGCCTCTTTTTTCCGAACTTCGCTGAAAGATGAGCGCTTTAAATGTGACTGTAATTTGATTTCAATAATTTAATTACACAATTTCCGAGTGTGCTTTGTTTGGTGCGTTTTCTTATTGTCGGTCTCTGCTTTGAGCGCTTGGCCTATGATAAATTACTTTAATTTCTTTTGGCCCGTACTGCTTCCGTAGTGTCCGACAGCCAGCCATAGGATGGATGGATGGATGGCTATGCTGGTGCGCATTAATTTCGAATTTTAATTAACTCGAGCGAAAAATACGTACATATGAAATAAAACAAAGCCGAAAAGAAAGTTTTAGCGGTCACTTAGAAATGATACTCCAAATTTAACTCTTTCTGCTACATAAATGCACACACATACGCGTATGTACGAATGTATGAACACGTAGGTATATCTCCATCTGTATTCGTGCTCACCAGCATTTGTGTGCGCGTTGCAAGCACTGCTGAAACTGGATCGTCTGGAGTCCGATTGAGGCCATCTGACCCAGCTGCGTCCCCGGTTCTGAGAGCTCTGCCCCATATACTTACAGGCCATCAGATTTGGCTCACGACAACTGGCTCGCACAATGCCCACACTGTGCTGCAGCGCTAGTTTTCTGGACTCTGTGCATTTCTGCGACTAAATGCCAAAAAAAACTATGAAAAAGGTGCCACTTTGAACAAAATATGGCTCTATTGAATAGTAGTTCTCTAGCCCTATATTCACCACAAAAAAGACAACAATCGAACGTAGGGTTGTAAAGATATTAGCCAAAATATGACCTGACGTTACGTTACAGAAAACAGAAGTGGATTTTGAGATTACAAAACTCTGCGTATTGGGTAGGACTATCTCTATATTATGAAATAATCAGTGGTAATTTCCCAAATTATTAAATATAAAAAACCTGTCCTGCTCTTTTGCTCTAAATTCGCGGAGGCATCCGACGCCCATACGTTACTGGTTTTACCTTACCAATTTCTGGGGTAATAAAACTTTTAAAATATACCGTTAGCCGAGATTAGCCAAATCGGGGGGTTTTCGGGGATTTTTTTAGGTGGTTCAACATGTTAGAGCAAGAAAGGTTTTGAAGAACAACTTTTATCAAGAATCATCTTACTTATGGGAGGTTATAGTATGGGAAAAAAATTACTGTAAAAATACCAAAAAAATACCGAAAAAAGTAAACTGTTGCTTGTTTAAATAGATTTTCACCTCAAAGATAATGAAGTTATATGTCAATCGGTTAAATTAGCTAAATTTCAATAGATTTCGGGATAATACCGGGATAAAAGTATATGGAAATTGTTACTTTTTTTTTCTTTTTTGCCTTTGAATGTTTTTTGGCATGGCGGACATTTAGGCGGAAATGTCCAGATCCAATCTCAGAACCGCTATGCCTTGGGGGACTACAGAGTAGGCACTCAAATTGAATTCTTTCTGCTATTGATTACAGCCTTTTGCTTGGGTCTCGCTTTTGCGATTGGAGATCACCGTAAGTGTGGTTGGACCCAAACTTGTTTCGAACTACATTTGCATCTACTAGACCTGATACTGACCTACATATATATTGAAATATAGCGCAGAAAAGGAAGCTTATTAAAGTATATTGATTCCTGCTTCAGGCCGATGAGGGAATAAAGCCTTGTCCGTCCGACGAGCCGTCGCTCTGTTCTCAAACTATGTGGTTGAAACTTGGCACATTTTAGTAGTATTTAGATGTAGATATACATACATACAAGTCGGGATCGGCTAAGAACTGATATTCTCTTAAAAATCCATTCCCCTGCTGGCTTTTATCTGAATAGAAATAGTGACTGAAAGCATTCCAATAAATCAGTCAAAATATGGAGCATTTTGCCCAGTGCTTAAGCACTTCCAATGGGTTTCTCTGCTCCTGAAATATCCAAAAGTCGAAAAGCAAAAATGAAAACTGGCGCACCGTTCGCGTGTGTATGGAAGCAGTCAGTGATCGTTGGGTTGCCTCTGCCCCAAATGCGACTTTTGTCAGAGTCGAGTGAGCAACCAATTGTTATTTTGACCAATAAAACTGTGACCAATAGTAATTGTGCAACATGGGTACATAAGTACATGTGCGTATCTTTTTACTGTAGGCTTTTGTATGTACAAAAATAGCTGGCAGCTGGGGTTTTCGGCTGATCTGTGCCTTTGGCCTTAGCCGGCTTCAGTGCCCTCTGGGGGTGTCCTCGATGGATCCTGATTAGTCTCGGATGATCACAGATGAAACCTGGCTAACAGTGGGCATAGTTTCTCGCTTATGGCAGGTGGATTGATTGGTGCAAAGTTTCCGCTTTCATAAGCAGCCACTTTTTCAAGTCTTTCCGCGCCCGAGTGTGCACCCGAGGTGGGGTGCGGGGATGGATGAATGTTTGTTGTGGGTGTAAGTATTGAAGACGTGCAAAAAAGAAAGCAATTGCAGCAAATTGCAACAAATTGCACCAAATAATTAAATTCGGGAAGCAGTAAAAAAGCGCCAACGGGCAACACTTTCGTTGCCAAAAACGCAGCGTCGAGTGCGGTGCCACCGCCAGCACGCCCTCGACCGCTGCTGGTCTATATGGGAGCATAAATCATCGGGCACGCCTCCCTGTCCACTGGCAACCGGTCTGGGCCACTGGCAACTGGCAACTGGCAACTGGTTGCGCCGAGCTGCCCAAAAAAGTGGCCAGCAACTTTCACATGCCATTGACATGGCATGGCCAGCGCTGCATTCGCGGCGAGTCAATTAGTAAATTGCAAGCGATGCGCTCTCTCGGCTACTGATACTCAGGGTATGGGGTATATCTGTTCGGACACCATCTAACCATGTTCTGTTCTTTCGTTGCAGTCACAATCGAAGGCCTCGACGCTCTCGTCGGGCGCCCGAGCCGCTGCCCAGACCCTAAATGTTCCGCTGGAGCGCCTGGAATCTCGCCAGGCGCATGCCCAGCGCAACGAGCACGGCACCTTGAACGGGAACGAGGGGGAGAAGCAGCAACAGCAGCACCAGCAGTCGGAGCTGCACCATCACCTGCAGCAGCAGCAGCAGCACCACCAGCAGCAACAGCACCAGCAGCAGCAGCAGCACCAGCAACAACAGCTGGAGGATGCCCTTGAGGAGCAGCAGCTGGCGGCTGAGCAGCATCACCAGGGTCAGCAGCAGCGCTTCATGAAGCAGCAGAGCTACCTGCACTCGGCCCGCAAGCCGAATGCAGGCCAACAGCCCTCCTCCCTCACCAATGGCCAGTCGCAGCAGACGGATCAGAGTCAGCAGCAGCACCAGCAGCAGCAGTCGATGACGCACCATGACCTGGACGCCAACTACATGCAGGAGGAGACCAACGGCGGCACACCGCCCTCGGTCACGAAGTACTCGCTGCTCCAGTTCGCCATGCAGCACTTCCGCAACGAGTAAGTGCATCCACCAGATCCCACGAGAGCTGCATAGCTATAATGTTTCACCCTCTTTGCAGCCAACTGCGGGACGCCGATCGACATCATGAGCGACACCAGTCCCAGTCGCAGTCCCAGTCGGCCGCCAACCGCTCCTACGCGGAGCTGGTCAAGTGGCAGGGCCATGCCATACGCCTGCCGCTACTCCGGCTCCCCAACGACCTGGCCTCGCTGGCGCTCGAGTGCTTTGACTGCGTTCTCCGCTACTGCGGCGACATTCCACTCGATCCTGAACTCACCGAGGTCAAATGTGTCTACACGGTGCTCATGGTGAGTTCCGCTTCTCTTCTCTCTTCAAACCGCTCGAGGACTGTTCACTTGTGCTGAATTTTTGGGTACTTTCAATACCTCCTATCAGAAAGATTATTCTGATTCTTATTATTCAATGCACAGCATTCCACGCCCACGGAAATCTCGAAATCCACACACTAATCCCCCGTCCTTCGTCTGATTTCCCCCTACAGCATTGTCACAAATATCTGGCCCTGAGAGACGAGGTTTACTGCCAGTTGATGAAGCAGACCACGGCTAACCGATCACCCTGCCCGGACAGCTCGCAGCGCGCTTGGCGCCTGCTCAGCATTCTGGCCGCTTACTTCGGCTGCTCGGACGCCTTGCGTCCGTACCTGATGGAGCACCTGACGTCGGCCGCCTCGGACCGTCGTCGCTCCTGCCACGGCACGGCGGCCGTCTGCCTGACGAACCTCCGGAAAACGGCCCGCTGCGGCGGCCGCAAGAACGTGCCAAGCGTGGAAGAAGTGACTGCCGTGTCCGCCGGGCGCTCGGCCAGGCGACAGATCTACAGGCTGCCGGGAGGGGCTGAGCGGGTGGTAAACACGCGCTGCTCCACGGTGGTGGCCGATGTCATAGCCGAGCTGTGCTCACTGCTGGGCGTGGAGTCGGAGGCCGAGCAGCAGGAGTTCTCGCTCTATTGCATCGTGCAGGGCGACGCCTTCACCATGCCCCTGGCCGCCGACGAGTATATACTGGACGTGACAACGGAACTTCTCAAGTCCGGGCAGCCCTTCTACCTGATCTTCTGCCGCTCAGTATGGCATTTTGCCCTCAAGCGCGAGCCGGCTCCGATGCCGCTGTACGTAGAGGTGCTTTTCAACCAGGTGGCCCCCGACTACTTGGAGGGCCTTCTCCTGGAGCTGCCCGGCAACGGGGTTCCCATGCCAGAGATGGTCCGTGATATGGCCAGGATCGCGGCGCTACTGCACCGTGCCGCTGACCTCAGTCACGTGCCGGCCATGAAGGAGATCAAGTTTCTGCTGCCCAAGCCGGCGCTGGGGATACGCGAGATACGACCGGCCCAGTGGGTCGGCCTGGTGCAGTCCGCCTGGCCGCAGGTGGCGGGCCTGAGCCCGAGCCAAGTGAAGGCTCAGTTCCTTAATGTGCTGGCCGCCTGGCCGCTCTTCGGCAGCAGCTTCTTTGCCGTGAAGCGCATCTGGGCTGAGGAGGGGCCGCACGTGGAGGACAACCACAGCCCCATGTGGCGGGACCTAATCCTGGCCCTGAACCGGCGTGGAGTGCTCTTCCTCGATCCCAACACGCACGAGACCCTGCAGCACTGGAGTTTTATGGAAGTTATATCCACGCGCAAGGTGAGTTTAAACTCTCTGCCCACCGCAGTGGCAATTTTTATTGAGCTTTTTCTCTCCTCTTCTTTCGATCAGGTTCGCTCGGAGGACGGAGCCCTTTTCCTGGACATGAAGGTCGGCAATCTCATGCAGCAGCGCGTGATTCGCGTTCAGACGGAACAGGCGCACGAGATATCGCGCCTGGTGCGTCAGTACATCACGATGGCCCAAATCAGTCAGCGGGACAAGCGGGAGCTCAATTAGGTGTACCGAGCAACGATAATTATATTTTAAATATGCATAATTCTACTTTTTACCTTTATAATTATTTTTACCGAATTATTCTCTATTCGATATATCCCCGTACATTTTTTTTTTGTTTCGTTTTGTAAGTTATATACAATATATTTATACACGCCCATACACAAGATACATGCATGCATATGTATATCTAGATGCTTTTGTTTCCGCTGTCTTCTACCTCCCCTCCCACCTCTCGTTGGCGCTTCAATGGCCATATATTTCCCCCTTCTCGCCCTAAAAGTAAATCCCATTCTTTTGGAAACCAAGTGCAATGCTCGTGCAGCATTCGAATGCACCCGCTCTGAATACAAATTTGAATATTGTCAAATTTCTTGCAAACTTTATTATTAAATTATGCTTTTTTTTTTAATTGGTTTAAACGAAATCCGACGCAGTTGTGTATTTAGTGTAATCCTTAAATTATCATAAATAAATGCAACTATATTTGTATATCTATCGTACAACTGAACTTCCACTGCAATCCTAATAGATACGAGTAACGAGTAAATGGGAAAAAAAGAAGTTAGTCTATGAGAAATTAATTATATAATATTTGGTAGGAGTTGATCGTTGTCATCCTCATCGTCTTCCTCGTCCTCGTCCTCCTCGTCCTCATCATCCTCCTCGTACTCGCCGTCCTCCTCCTCATCATCGTCGTCATCCTCGTCTGCCTCTGCCTCATACTCGGCCCCGGTATGGGCCTGGGTGGTGGTCACGCCCGCTGATGTTGCCGGTGCAGCTGGCGCCAACGTTGTCTTTAGCTGCTCGTGGCCAGCAAATTGTGTGGCAGATGGGGCTGGCGCTGGGGAGGGGGCTGTCTCACTTGTTGCGTTACTCTTTACCGCAGCCATTGTTTTTCCTGTTGTTGTTCGTGTCGTGGTAGCATGCTCCATTGTTGGCGCCCCATCCGGGCGCAAAGCAACAACGCTTAACGCTTCATTAGTCGCATTGTGGCTGCCAGCGACAGAGCCGGCTCCAGCTGCTGCTAACGTGGCCATCGTCGACATCGTTGTCGTCGGCGTCGTCGGCGTCGTCCCTGTCGTCCTTGTCGTGGCTGTGCTCAGCGGTGCGGTGCCCGCTGTCAGCGTTGTTGGTGTGGGCACAGCTGCGGTGTCATTTGTCCGGCGTTTTGGCACGTTACTTGCTGGAAACTTTTCCACCTGCCCACCCATTGTGTTGCCGTTGCCGTTGCCGTTGTCGCTGTCATCAGGCACACCTGCGACCACATCGTCCAGCTCCAGCGGAAGGGGCGGCGGGGTAATGCGCAGTGGCGCCACCGATGTAAGCAAAAAGTCGTCGCGTATCTCGCAGTTCTTCCCAAGATACCCCTGCCGACATAGACACCGATAGCTGCCGTCCTCGCGGCTCACCGAGACGCACTTGCCCTCGTTCTCGCACGTCTCCGGATTCTCCACGCAGTAGCTCAGCTCTGTGGGGAATGGGAATGGTGGATGTGACATCAGAGCATTGGGTTGCAACAGCACTTACTTTCATCGCACAGCATACCGCCCCAGCCAGGATGGCAGTTGCACTCCCAGGGCGCCTCGCAGTCTCCGTTCGCGCAACCGGGATAGGGGAAGCACTTGTCGCACTGGCTGCCCGTCCAGCCCACCTTGCAGCTGAGCGATAATGAAGAGTGATAATGTAAATTTAGAAGGGCAGGCAGTGGTGGCCCACTAATACGCCCCACGTGGGCGAGGAGGCACGACCTCGTACTCACCGACACTCGCCAGGCCTGCGGCAGTAGCCGTGCTGCTTGCTGCAATCCGAGGCGCATAGAGCTGTCGAAGAGAGGGGGTTTCAACAGGTGCCGTTTGGGCAGGTTTCGGCTGCGGTCGAGGAACTTACGCGTCTGGCAGAGCAGTCCCGTGTATCCGGGCAGACAGAGGCATTCTAGCGGCTTGTTGCAGGTCCCGTGCTGGCAGCCCGGCATGGTGGCGCACTCGCCGCAAGTGCGACCCGCGTAGCCAATGCGGCAGCGGCACTCTCCGGGGGCCTCGCAGTAGCCGCGGGTACTGTGACATCCACTTCGACAGCTGGCTGCAGGAAAGAGCAGGAGAGTGTGTGTGTGTGTCTGGTTTCATTAGGGATTAATGGCTCAATCGGTGGAGCAACTGAGACCTTTAATCACTTTACGTTGAAATATCCTTCGAAAGGAGTCATCACGTTATTAATGAAAGCATTTCTTTTCAGCATTTTACTCTGATTTGTTGACTCATGTACTGTGTGGAGTACTGCTCAAGGATTCTACTTACGTTCTGTGCAGAAGAGTCCAGACCAGCCGGGCTTGCAGATGCACTCAAAGGGCTTGGTGCAGTCACCGTGCTGGCACCCCGGTAGCGGAATGCACTTGTCGCACATCTCGCCACTGTAGCCGATGCGGCACCGGCACTCGCCTGGCCGCTGGCAGTAGCCTGTCGTAGTGGGATATGAATGAACTGTAGGGAAATCAGTTCGCCGGCTTACCGTTCATCGGATCACAGCCTCGCCGGCACATGGGCACCTGGCAGAGGTCGCCCTGCCATCCGGGCAGACACGTGAAGTCGCCCTCCTCGTCGCACACATAGTGGGAATTGGCCTTGTTGTTTTGGGGCTTCTCGCACGCCTGCCGTGGACCAAATACCGCAGATAAGTCGCTGGCTCAATGGCGAGTGCCGAATTTCACTTACACGTTTTTTCCAGAGCGGAATCTTGGAGTTGCTGCTTTGGCGAACCTCAAAGTTTCGCCTGTAAGCGTCGCTGTCTTCTATGCTGAGTGTGGTGATCATGGTGGTCAGTAGGACCGTCGCCGGCACCCCTAAATTGCACGGCAACATGCCTGATCAGTTAGGAAGAGCTGTCAGTTAGTATATCTACATATGTAACAACCATATATGCAATGAGTAAACGCCGGAATTGCTATCGGAACCGATGATGCTCGTGTACCCTCTCTCTCTCTCTGTCTTTTTGGTTTCGCATTTCGGAAAAGAGACGGATTGACTTGTTGGTCAATGCCACTGTCCCACCTTGTGCATCAAGCAGACTGCACATCTCTATGAATTTTCCTTGCACTTGTCATGAGAGAGTGCACAACGGTGATGGGGGAGATCGAGAGAGACAGAGAGACAGAGAGAGAGAGAGAGAGAGAGTGAGTGAGAGAGGGGGGCAGAGTCAGTAACGGAAAATCCTGTTATTCATTCTGGCTATAATAATGATCCGATCTGATCCAGATTCGGTAATCTGGTAGATCAAATAATTCTCTAAGAGTCTACGGGGTTCAATTCTTTGCTGTCAGTCAGAGGACCAAAATGTTGGATGCCTCGGATTTGTGTTCTTTTTGAGTGTGATACCACAGTATTGGGAACACAACAAGTTCTTTCTCTAGCTCTTATAGTCTCTGAGATCTAGGCGTAAGCCGAAACGAACATGTTCGGAACATGGCTATAAAATGCCCTAAGAATCTCAGAATGTTTAAGTATACAGCTTTAAACAGTTATTGTCACTGTGCTAAAGTTATTTGATAGATGAATATAACACCCACTCAAAGATTAGTTTTCACACTGACTCGCCTCGAAGCTATTGAATAGAACAACATTGCATTATCTACTCTAGACTCTAGACACAAGTCAACAGACAAATTTTCTTCGTTTAGCCAGAGATGGACCGTAAAAAGAAATCGGTAGCGGCCCACGGCCCACAGCCCACGGCCCCTCCTCACACAGTCACAATTAACATGTTGGAAGACAACTTTCTTCGCAACGAGTAGCACCAAGAATGGCAATCAGCCCAATCCGCTTGGAACAACACTGATTTGCAGATTTCTTATAGATGGGCATGGTAGGAAAACAAGCAGAGCACATAACAAACAGAAACTGAATAGATCTTCCGGAAGATCGCTCGACCAGCAATGGAAATGCTAAGCGGAAAGTGTCTTTACTTTGGGAACTGAGGAACGGTTCTGCTGAAGCTACAGCTACTCGGGCAACGGCAGGGCTTGTACTCGGTCTACCTCGGTCTGCGCTTGCTTTGGGACTAATCAATTAACGGCAGCGTTACCTATCCTATGGCTCACTGTGGCTTACTGTGGCCGATTCCGTTGTCTTCTCTCTTCTGGCCATCACAATGAACTCGTCGCTGTCTGCGAGCATTCCAAGAGAGAGAAATTGTAAAACCGGCGGGCGACGTCGCTCACGTTTGCCACTTAAATAATTGGGTCAAACGGTAAGCCCGAATCAGCTGGTTGGAGCGTCGCGCATGCGCAGTGCGCAGTCGCCAAACAAGTCGCGGCAAGTCGGGAACTTTCTTGCCGCTCGACTGCCCAACAGCGAGCGGAGAGAGAAAGATATGGAAAGAGGAAAATAGAGAGAGAGACACAAAGGTTTCTTTAAAATTATACTCGTTCTTTATTGAATGATTTCGGTATTAGTTTTATTATAATTTTATTAAATATTTTCGACATTCGTATGCACCTAAAATCCAGTTTAATACTAAGATCCAAAGTTTAATTCCGACTCTAGAATTCTGTCCAAGGGGGGAAAAATCATGGAGTACTGGCGTACCCCCTCTACCCTCGCCACCTCCCGTGGACTTTATGTATGTGTGGATGTGTGTTAGAACGTGTGTTTTTGATATGAATCGAATGCTTAGGAGATGAAAGTACTCGTAGAAGACGGAACTGGCGGCTCATCAATGTTTCGGTTACCTTCGCCCAGCAGCATGATTTCATCTCCATTGTAATTGTCGTTATGTGGTATTTGATGACTTACGGCTACTATCTATCAATATCCCCTCCAGTAATGAGCGTCATGTCGTATCTCTATACCTCGAGCCTCGAGGGGCCAGATGCGGTCAAAACACTCGTCGTCGTGATCTTTACTTGAGAGTTCCCTGTCAGCTACCTAGTGCGAAGAGAATGTTGCATTTCCTACGTATCGTATATGTATATCCAATCAAACAAAACTGCACCCCCTGCAGTCTGGAACACTCAAATATGCCGATTCGGTCCTGTATAGTGCTTAAATTAACGCTGACAATGCCGGCTAAATAGCGAGCGAGTGGTTCGACTTTCTCAGTGCACTCGTATAAGTCCACGTCCACGATTGCAACTCGGTGTGGTCACAAAAAAAACTTTACTCACGATACATCTATTCCTCTTAATACACTGACTTAAAGTTTACACTCTTACATATAATGGAGTACTTGTGCCAGTGCTGAAATTTATAGGGCATAGGGCTCTAATGGTTTGGGTCTGGGGACTGGGGACTGGGTACTGGGTCGTGATTTGATATGATGCGATCCCGTCACGGCCGTCCCTTAACGCCTGTTTAGCCGGACGTTTTGCCTTTGCTTCTGCCGCAGCCGTACAGCATAACCTACACGTACTACATCTACAATATTGACGATGTGATCGATACAAAAAATTATATTAGACGGGACGGGAGCGATTAGACGAAGATGAACTGCGCGCGGGTGCACTTCTTGGGAGGGCCGACGGTGAGGCGGAGCCACTTGCCGCGACACGACGGCGCCGGCAGTGCGCTCCAGCGCATCGTGCGGCCAGAGAGCCCCTCGCCACGGCAGTGGAAGCTCGGCGTGGGCGCCGGTGGCAGCGTTGCCGGCATGGCGCTTCTTTTGGAGCTGCCCCACGAAAGGTAGCGGAGCGACAGGATCTGCGACTGCCGCTGGTGTCGGTTCTCGTAGCTCTCATTGCTGCCGGTGTCGAGCATGTTCTGTGCATTTTCATCTTCCTCTTCACCCTCCTCGTTGTTGTTATTGTTGTCGTCGTCGTCGTCATTGCTGTTGCTGCTGTTCTGCTCTCCCTCCCCCCCATTGGAGCCGTCGCTGCTTTCCTCCTCCTCTTTGTAGGCCCCAGTGGTCGTGGCTACAGTAGTGGGGGTCACGGATCCGGACCGGCCTGCGGCTGTGGGGCTGCCAGCACCGTCCTGGATGAGGGCCTCGAGATCGCAGCGCACGGTAATGCGATCACCTGGGAAATTGGTAGAACCAATAAGTCTCGGCTTAGTAGCTCAAAAGGCCTCCCACTTACCCTCCAGCATCAGGTTGTAGGGCGGCAGCTTGTGACAGGCCTTGGACGCCTTGATTACCTCGAACTCCACGCAGTACCTGGAAGATGCAGACAGAAAATGCAAAGATTAAGATACATATATACATGCATGTACAACTAATATTTAGTACAACTTTCGTATGATATGAATGAATCACTTTATTCATAAGAGATAATTCGGTTGATATATGAAATACAGGTCTTTGCGAGTTATTTAATGAATATCTGTTACTGCCATGATACCCCAACTCCCTATCTCGAGGTTTCGATAGACAAGATAGTTGATCTTAAATACGCTTTATAGGTTTCAATATTGAACCCGCTGGCAACAGGTACTGGCAAAGTTATCGAGGTACGGAGGGACAGCCAAACTTTGGGATAGATATCAATAAGATTTTGCATAACGATATATTGAAAAACTTCCGTAAGTATTTCAACTCTTCGTATAACAGCTCCAGTTAGCTTCAGTCCATTTATGTCCGAGTCCTCTTCAGTTTTTAGAGTGGCACAAGAACAACAAAAATCCATAATAATTATACCCGATACTCAAAATGAGTATTGGGGTATATTAGATTTGTGGTAAAAGTGGATGTGTGTAACGTCCAGAAGGAATCGTTTCCGACCCTATAAAGTATATATATTCTTGATCAGCATCAATAGCCGAGTCGATTGAGCCCTGTCTGTCTGTCCGTCCGTCCGTCTGTCCGTCTGTCCGTCCCCTTCAGCGCCTAATGCTCAAAGACTATAAGAGCTAGAACAACGATGTTTTGGATCCAGACTTCTGTGATATGTCACTGCTCCAAAAATATTTAAAAACTTTGCCCCGCCCACTTCCGCCCCCACAAAGGGCGAAAATCTGTGGCATCCACAATTTCGATGATACGAGAAAACTAAAAAAGCAGAATCGTAGAAGATGACTATATCTTATAGAGTGCAAAATCTGAACCAGATCGTATAATTATTATAGCCAGAATCACGAAAACAATTTCACTCTTTCTCGCTCTGTCTCACTCTAACACACAGGTTTCATGGTCGGTTTTGCCAATTGCAAAATATGAGTTCAAGGATCTCAGAACCTATAAAAGCCAGAGCAACCAAATTTGGTATCCACACTCCTGTGATATCGAACCTTGACCGTTTCATGTCCAAATTTCGCCACACCCCCTTCCGCCCCCGCAAAGGACGAAAATCTGAGGCAACCACAAATCTCAGAGACTATTAAGGCTAGAGTAACCAAACTTGGTACACACACTCCTTTAAGATGTCACTATAAAACGTATATCTCAGAATTTCGCCCCACCCCCATCCGCCCCCACAAAGGACGAAAATCTGTTGCATCCACAATATTGCAGATTTGAGAAAACTAAAAACGCAGAATCATAGATAATGACCATATCTATTAGATTGCTGAATCTGGATCAGATCAGATAATTTTTGTAGCCAAAAGGAACAAATCAATTTGCAGTGGCTACGCAGCGCGTGACATCACGCTCAGACTGATTTTCTGTCTCTCTCGCACGCACTCTTTGTCGTGTCGTTAAATATTAGCGGCGTCTGCCGGAGGAGAGCCATACTGACTTAGTATCGGGTATAACTCTAGAGTTGCGGTGTCCGCAGCAACTCACAACGTTCCCCCTCGTTGTTTTCTGAAAATGTGTGCAAAATTTTTACCCAAAAAAAACTGTTTTATCATTTTACCACAGATATTTTGCCTCTCAAAAGCTGACACTGATTTATGCTTAAATTTGTGACGCCCAGCACCAGGAAGACCAA